CCCCGTCGTCCTACTGGAGGTTTGTAATTAAAAAACAAAAAAAGAAAAGAACAGATATATCGTGCTTCTACTTCGATGTCTCAGCACAGTTAGGCCTATCAACAGAGATATCGGCATTTTTATTTAAATGGAACTAGAATGAGGATGTAGATCTACCTAAATTAAACTTCTGATTTAGCACTCTTAAGATCTATATCTACTAGATCTAGATCTAAAATATGAACTTAGAATAATGTAGCTGTAATTTAGATAAGATTTGTGTAAAAACAAATATCCTAGATAATCTATCAATAGACTGAATGCAACATTAAATTTAAAAATAGTATATTAGTTTTAGTATAGGCCCTATTATAACTGTCACGTACACAGTATCTTTATTTAGCTCGTCAGCGACCTCGGGAAATTCCATCAGGCTATGTGTCAGAATAAATGTGATTAGTTTTGAAATATTAATTTTTGTACATTGAGCTGCATTTATTGGTTGGCATTGCAACGAGGTGCGTTAGACTAGTGACAACGCTATACCCGGGGAAAGGTTCTAGATTTTTAGTCAGTCTTGTATGGAACGTGTTAGTGAGAATATGTACTAGAGTTTTGTATTAGAACTCAATTATATTATTGTGTAGATCTGTTATTTTATACAAGTACATTTAACCATTGTAATTATTTGTGAATAGCTTTTTCAAGTTCTGAATTAAAGTAATTGTTTTAGACGAAGAGAAGTTTCTTCATTGAATATAGTAACATACTTAGATCGATTTAGCGATTGGCAACTTCTAGATGATCCTCTTATCAACTGGCAACATTCTGAATGATCGTATTATTAACTAGATCTAGCTACTTCTATACGATCATCTTATTAAAAGAAGATTTCAAGATCCTCGGCAATCACGATCATTGATGGTGTGATATAGATCAAGATAATCTTCAACGTGACATCTATCATAGCATCTTCATACATCTTGACATCTGACATCCACAATTGATGATTTTGACAATAACATTGCAATATCTTAATCTAGTCTATTTTAGTCTAAACTAGATATAGAAATTCTAGATCTAGACTCTAAAATAATTTTAATTAGAATATAAATCCAGATCTAGATATACTGTAATAAAAGATCTAGTTTAAACTTACGGGGGGCGCTAAAAATCTAGATTAGATCTAAATCAAGATACCGTTCCTTTTTTTAAATGCGAGTCACATAATGAGGCTTAATAAACATTACTATACCGAGTTCTTTTAGCATTTCATTTAAAGAATTAATTCCATATGACGTCAAAGGGAAAAAAAACACTACTTCACACGGCCTATCTAGACTAAAAATCGTCTTCATTAATACGAGCCATTTATTGAGTGTTCATAGACATTGGTGCACCGAGTGCGTTCTTTTAGAATTTCATTTAAAGAGCTAATTCCATGTGACGTCAAAGGAAAAAAAAAACACTACGTCATACGGCTTAGTTAGACTAAAATATGTTTTCATCAATTCGAGCAATTTTTCGAGTATTCATAGACATTGGTGCACCGAGTGCGTTCTTCTAGAATTACATTTAAAGAGTCTATTCATTTGACGTCCAAAAAAAAAATAAAAAATTCCATTACCTCGCAATAGGCTAGTACCGTTACCATAAAAAAAATGTCTTTATTTACACGAGATATTTAACGAGGGTTCATAGACATTGGTGCACTGAGTTCTAATAGAATTTATTTAAAGAGGATCAAAGCCCCATTGTTTTTGCGTTTTGTCTGTCAGTCGGTCTGTCCGTCATCTTAATATAAAAAAAACCTAAAAGCTATTAAAAATTGATCAACCTTTATTTTACGTTTCAAAACATCGCAATAATTTAAGGTATGAACACAATTGATTTAAGTTTATATAATAGATTGTTCGGATGTTTGTATAAATAGTAAAAGAAAAAGAGAATTCCAGATAAATGTAATACGTTAATTAAATTTGTTGGATGGTCTCGTATAAAAATTAGAAGAACTACAGCCTTGTGGAGAGATATTCATACCTTACTTTGGTGTTTGGATGAGGTTTTCCTTGAAAATCGGAACATAATATTAACGATAATTAGATTTTTTTTTATGGTTTAGGTAGAAAATTAATTGTACTGTAAGAGAGAAGTGAGTTAAAATATTTTTTCAAAAAAATCCGGAATAACATTATTTCGTAAATGAGAAGATTATTTGTTTATTAATTAGAAGAAGGAGTTCAAACAGTTATTTGGCGTTAGTAGATTTTAAAATAAATTCAGACATTTCTGGCGACGATTTGTAAGAAAATGTAAGTAATGTAAGTCGATTTCTTTTCAAAACAAAATCCGGAACATTCTTTATCGATTACTAAACTTTTATGTTATGTTTCAGCAAGAAAATTAAATGTCTAAAAAGTAATCAATTCTAGTAAATTACTTTTTTTTAAAGCCCTGAACAATCTATTGTCCATATTTTTAAAATTTGTTAAAAGATGAAAATACGGAACAATTTGATATCGATAATCAAATTATAGTGACGCATTATCAAATAATATACGTGTAATATAAGTCAATTATGCGATTTCAAACAATCATTAAGCATAATTCATTTTTTTAAAACAATATCCGGAACATTTTTACACTTAATGAAATATAAGTCAGTATAGAGATTTTGATTTAGCATTGATATGCTATTTACATAAAAAACGGAACAACATAATATATTATTGATAATGTGTTTTTGCAACGTTTAAACATGGAAATTAAATGTAATATAAGTTAGAAGAGCAAACAAACGTTTGTTGGCGTTGATTAGTATTGCACAAAAAAATCCGGAACAATCAATTTTAGATGCTTAAAACTATTGAGATGTTACGGGAGGAACATTAAAGGGTAAATCAGATTTTCAATAGCTTTTAGAGTTGTTTTTTTTTATCTAATCGTGACGGACAGACCTACCGACAGTAAAACGCACAAAAATAAACCTTTTTTATTCTGATGTGGGCACTAAACAAAAAATAAATAAAATCTGATTTAAGAAAAAAAAGTTTGAGAAATTAGTTTAGCACCATGTTTAGGCCGGGCTTTACGCTACTACACGAAAGTCGCTGCATAAAAAGTCCATTTTAAAAAATGTGCGTGATATTTACATACAAAGTGCATTCTTAGCCTTTGTAAACAAACATAAATGTTTTTTAATTTTAGCAGCTAGTTGACCAGAAAAAAACACCTTTAGTTAATATTTATATTTGTTGTAAACATTTCTAGTACATTTTATAAAAATATTCGACTTAGTGATACTAAAAATACGCAAAAATTGTCCATCTTTGTTAGCATATTGTAACATTGCCTCCCTTACATTAAGTTATTGTTTTAGAATTGGTGTATTTTTATGAAAAAATCGCTTGCATAATTAATTTTATAAATTAAACGGTTTGCTTTTAGAAAACCAAAAGTAGCCATTGCACCTAAACCTTTCAAACCGCATTTAATGGTAAAATAATATTTTTCATATCTTTTCTAGTTTTCGAGATCTGAGTGTGACAGACGGACATTTTGCACAAACCTAATAGCGGCTTTTTCCCCTTACGGGGGCCGCTAAAATTCATCTTAGGAGAAGCAGAAATGTTTTTTTTTAATAGAGAAGAAAAATGGAAGCTTGTATAATTGTACACACATAGTACAAAAAGAAAACAAGCTCTAAATGATCACAATGCTTAAGATTTGCAACAACCAAAAACCAAAAATAGCATTTAGCTATTTAGGAAAAAAGAGGGAATCTTCTTCTTCTTCTAGTTATTGCTGCTGAGCTGTCAGCTTTTTTGCAGACTGTGCCAAGGAAAAAAAGTGTGCTGTTTTCTTCAGTTGTTCAGCACTGCCGTACAGGGTGTTGGTTATGTTGGGCTGTAGTGGAAGTAGGGTCTGCCTAAGGTGGATTAGGGAGGGGCATTCAAAGAGGATATGGTTTACGGTTTTAAAGGGGTGGGTGCAGTGTCTGCAAAGGGGGAGTTGTGTGGAGTTTATTTTGTTCAGGTGGTAATTTATAGTGGTGTGTGTCCTGTTCTTAGTTGGAAGATTGTAGATTGTTCTTTGCAGGGGAGGAAGTTAATACTGTCCAGTTTGTTAGGCGTAGTCATTTCTTTGTACATGGCTCTGCCTGTGTTTCCTGATGCCCATTGGTTGAGCCACTCCTCCTTGTGATTGTTGACTAACATTGACCTTAGGGTGAGGTAGTTAATGGGTCTATCTGGTTGTTCCATTAAAGAACCTGCCTTTGATAGCTTATCTGCCTTTTCATTTCCCATGATGCCAATGTGTCCAGGGATCCACTGTGGTGTGATATTGATATTTAATTTTGATATCATCTGATGGATTATCACAATGAGTGTTGTCAGCTCTCTTGGGCTGTTTGAAATGCTGCTGATAAGTGCTTGCAGAGTAGATTGGGAGTCTGTAAAAGACAACAATATCTGATAGTGGTTGCACTCCTTCATAAAATTTGTTTTCCACTGTCTGTAGTGCTATGGTGATTGCCTCAATTTCGACTTGGAAGTTTGAGCAGCAGTAATCGCCACAGGGTGCGCTTATCTCAAAGTGTTTATTTTTAACGAAGACCAGGAAGGCACCAAGACCAGCATTGATGGTGGCTTTGAAAGCCGATCCGTCTGTATAGATATGGATAGCTGTTTTTTGATAGCTTTCAATTGTTTCAAGCGTGCCTACTTTGAGCTCCAGTGGATTTGATAAAAGAGGGAATAAATAGATATGTGAAAGAGCAACAATCCAGACAAGTGATTATGTAGATTGTTTCTCTCGACTTGAATAAAAATCAGTTGATTGATTTACTTTGGTAATTTTAAATGTCTATAAGTTTGAATCTCTGTACAAAAAAAACCTTTCAAACAACAGGAAAATGCAAAACGTTATTGAAATCAGCAAGAAATTTTTAAAATAGTTTTTTTTAATTGGAACACAAATTGAAATGCATTTAAAATGAAAGCAATTAACTGTACAAAATGTTTATTTTTTTAAAATCATGTTTATTTCATTTTTGTTGTGACTGATTAATAGAAATACAGGCACGACATTTCAAAAGAAAGTCTGAAAATTTGTTTTCAACACCTGCCAAGAACACATTCAAGAATGAAACAAGTAACAGAATGAAAGAATAGTGTTAGGACTTCACTCAAATCAAATGGAAACAAAAGACTTATATGAAATATAGCCAATGTGTTTTATAAACAGGAAGGCCTCTCTTTAAACTCAATGACAGATGCAAATAAAAATACTAATTTATACAGCTGTGCTGAAAAGTTGGAAAAAAAAATATTTTTTTTAATGTATTTAATTAAAAATAAATACATAACAGATCAACTAGTTAGACTGCTTCCAAAATTTAGTTCTAATTTCTAAACTGATTAAAACAGTAAAACTCAAGTGTTTTTTTTTTATGATTTTTTTTGTTTAAGACTAAATATTGCTTATACAATCATTTAATTTTTTTAAAATAAGAATTTAAGAAAAATGTTTCAGTTTTGTAACAAAGCAAATGCTATTAAATGACTAAATTTATATAATATTGGAAAACCAGATGATCAATGTGTATAAATATTCAGCTGCAGATACCTAGAGTCAATATAAATCATTGCCAAAATGTCTACACTGACAACCATAATTCTTTACATGTATAGGTCTGAAAAAAAAATTGTTTGTACTTTTATACACCAATTTCTCAAACCCAAGAAAAAGTCAACTAAATGCGGATGATTCTACAAATCAATCAAAACAATATGTACAAGATTATTATTAATGTGTAAAGTAAGCAAAGTAAGTATTGCTTCAGATACTAGTCTGCGATACAATAGAAATATTTCAACATAAGAACATTCAATACATATAACAGAGGTTCTTCTCTACAGAACAAAATATATTTTGTTTCTGAATAATAAAATGTTTCAGTATAATGACTAGTGGGAATGGTTTCAGTGTATAGCAACCAACTGCATAACTTCTTAGATTTAGATACAATAGAAAAAAAAAAAAAGATAAATGCGTTCAGTGCATAGATTGTAAAGAAATTTGGTGTGGGAAAAAACAGGACAAAAGAATAACTTATATCACTTTCTCAAAAAGGTTTCTTACAATACTACAATGCATTACAAAAAAATAATAATAATATTTTTATATTTTTTTTCACCCATGCAAGCTTAAAAAAATATCACAAATGCAAATGACTATAGCCATGGTTTCTAATGTTCTCATATACACATTCTTGAAACAGGTGAAGCACTCTCCTAGACTTTGACTTTTTCTTCATACAATCAAAGTACCTAATATTTAGATGGACATTACTTAGACATTCTCTTCATACCATCAAAGTACTCATATTTAGAAGGACATTGCTTAGACTTTCTCTTCATAACATCAAAGTACTAATATTTAGATTGACATTACTTGGACTTTCTCTTCATAACATCAAACTACTAATATTTAGATGGACATTACTTGGACTTTCTCTTCATACCATTGAACTACTAATATCTAAACAAACCTTATATATTTATATCTATAATATATTGTAAAAGAGTATTTTTAATTTTAAGAGTTCAAGTTCATATGGTTCTGTAAATTGTTTCAAGTGTATGTTTTGTGATCAAATGAACTGAAGCATTCCAAGAACTGACAGAAATAGAGTCATAAAATAAATATTGATTAATCCAACATTAGACAACAATTTAAAAAATTAGTTTTAAAAAAATCTATTTTTTGTTAGTTTTTTTTTTTGTTATTACAGACTAAGCCCACCTCAACATGATGTGGTTTGAAGAGAACTCACAGAATTTTTCCTTAAAACTATTTGACGCCTCTGAAACGTCTAATAGGGAAAACATTTTGGAATTTCTGAGATGCAAGTGACAGTGGTGTCATGATGGCTGAGTGGTAAATGACTTAGCTTCTGTATTCAGGGATTTCGGGTTTGAAATCTGGGTGATAACTGGGATTTGGGATTTTAGCGTGCCTACCTAAGCCCCTAACTCTGAATACCTGACATTATTTGTGGAAAAGTAAAGATGGTTAGTCATTATAGGCCACAGACACAGATGACCTTTACATAAGCTGCCACATAGATCACAAGAGTTACTTTCTTTTTTTTTTTAAACGGTGACATTAGCAGCAGTAAATGAAAGAAGCTTCTAATCTATATACTAGTTGAATAAGAGAAGCTCCTAAACTTTTGCTAATTGACTGATAGAAGCTCCTAAGCTTTTGCTAATGGAATAAGAGAAGCTCCTAAACTTTTGCTAATTGACTGATAGAAGCTGCTAGACAATTACAGTTGCGAAATGAAACTCAAAAGAAAAAAATTTCACTCAAGGACAGAATTCTAGTACAATGTTATAAGTACTATTATATTAATCTTATTGAAATAACTTCTTTAAACAATAAGATGTTACAATCTTGATTTAGAAATGAATCAAGCAGTTGTACAACTTAATTTTTTGATTTCAAAATGAAAGTGATTTTGATTTTTAACTACTTCCAACATGGAGAGCTCACTGCATACATGAGCAACCTTTTATTCATTTCAAACTCATCTAGAAACAATAATGGGTTGTTTTTCTAATAATTCAACTATTTCCCTGCATTTGAATTAAAGTAATTCTTGCCAAAACAATCATCAATATATAAAAAATAAGACTTCAGCATATAAATCAGCAGTTGATAGAAATATCTCAGGACTTTGAATAGTGTCACAGGGATTAACCAAGAAAACAAAATTGAACAAAATAAATATTTGAACATTTATGAATACATCCAATACAGGTTGTTTCCCACATAGTCATAAGGGAAGGGAGGGGACTCATCTTCAAAAGTTTTTCCATGAAGCTAAAAAGCATTCATCCTTAAAAAAACATATACAAAATAAACAAAATTAAAGCATCATTTTTTATACATCAGAACAACATTTGTAGATTAATGGATTAAAAAAATCTCCATATATAATTGTTGACTTTGTTTAAGTAAATATTATCTAAACAATAATTTTCACAGTTTGTATTTTTTTATATATGTAAAGACAATGTGTCTAGTTTTACACATAAAAACAGATAGATGGTTCCAAAAAAATATTCTAGATCTAAGGCTTTTGATACTAATTGTTTGACAGTATCACTTGTTATTATTTGTGTTCAGCTCCAGGGCAACTTTATAATTCATAGCAGCTTTTTGAATGAAACAAAATGGTCGGAGTTCTCCACTGGTCAGCCTAGGAACCTATTGTATCAAACAGAAATGTCTCCATTTTAACTGAACATTTCACATAGAAACTAAAAAGAAAAAAGTGAAACATAATATTTATGAAACAAACTTTTTTCATTTTAAACTAAGTACAATGAAGTTCTAAAGTACAGCCAAACAAAACTAATTGCAAAAGTAACTCATAATACTGTGTTGATTCTTTATAGATCACCTACATTGTCCAGCACAACTCAAAACAACTCCATATTGGCAATCAAGTGCACTGCCCTACTGTCATCATCTCTCAATATTTTTATTCTGATCTAATTGAAATAGAAGTGTGAAGATAACCAGTGCTTGGTATCTATCAATTTTAATGGGCAGACAAAGCTTTTTTGTTTTTTTACTTTCTCAGTTGAAGGTGACCAAAAGAATTGATACCTTTAGCCAGATGGATATCTAATTCTCTTGAAAGTGATGCATTATTGAATATCATACTTCCCTGATACATAAAGTATTGAGGGATTGGACATTTACTGTGATCTGTGAGACAGAAAAGATTTTATCGGGAGATTCTGGAACATGACATCTGCTTTCCTGACGTTGATTGTTAGACCAAAAAAAGGGTCAGCAGAAGTAAATGTTTAGGCAGCGATAACCAAAAATTTGATTCCTTGTGTTCCCAAAACAATTTTTTTTTATTTTGTCAAATGTAATAAAAAAGTGGGAGGCACAAAGCCCAAGTGGTAAAGCACTTAGCTTCTAACCCAAGGTGTTCCGAGTTTGAAGAGTTTGAATCCTGAAAAAAACAAAAAGCTGGAATTTTCAATTCAGCATCTTTAGAGCACCTTTGAGTCCACCCAGCTCTAATGGGTGGTTGACATTAGTTAGGGAAAAGTAAAGGCAGTTGGTAGCATTTTATGAGAACATATAGAAATAGCTCACATTCGACGGTTCCCTTCATTGCTATTAAACTTGTTTGACATTCAGTATCAGTGTCAACTAACTTATATTGATTGTTCAGCCTTTTGTCTAAGTTATTGAATTACATATTCCATTGAGTGTTACCTCCTTTTGGTTTATTTGCATTAGACACTGCGGAAGCACCAAACAATCTAATGTAGACAAAACTTTTGTCTGATAGAAGTCTTTTTTACATTATATATTTAAATTTCTACCTATCTTTGGGAGCAGTTTTTCTCTAGGTCTCAAATGAAATACAGCAGTGTTTGCATGAGTTCTCCAGCTGTCTCTTTCAGGAGTCCTTTGAGGCTAGTGTTCTGTTCTATGCCAGTTAGGCCATAAACATACATCATTCAAAAAAGAAAGAACATATTTACCTCCTCAGAATCAGCTATGTGGGCTCCTTTTCTGATTAGGTCACTTTTCATCTTATAAATACCATCCAATGAAACACCCCGGCTGGCATCTTCAATAAGAACAGTTTTAAAGCCATGCTTCAGTGCATGCTTGGCTGTGAAACCTGCAATATAACAGCAAAGTTCTCAATGCCACACTGACAGGTAATAACAATGTTTATCAGAACAACATTTTCTATGGTTGAAAAAAATAATTTCCTATCAGCCTTAGTTTGTTGGGCATTTAGACAGTACAAGTAAAGACATTTTTCTTCCATTTAGAAGTTTTATGCAGTTTTTAAGGTGTCAGACAATGTGAAAATATGGTTGATATGTATATTCACAAGAGCCCTGTCATTTATAGGCCTATATATATATATATATATATATATATATATATATATATATATATATATATATATATATATATATCAAGTAAGTAAAGTTTCCCTTTCAGACCTTGCAATCTATAGATAGGGCAGATGATGTAAAGGTCATCTGTTTCTGTGTGTATATATATATATATAAAGCTTATGCAATTAAATTGTTGAACCATTATAACAGGATTTGAAATCAGGACCATTGAAAAGACAGCCTAGAGGGCATACCATACAAACAGGCAGACATTCACTTGTGGAGTCCTGCGACTGTATTCAGGGTATATTCTACAAATACACAGATAAATCATTGTCTAAATATAAAAATCAAGTTATTAACTAAAGCAAATGATGTACTAATCACTTGAACATTTAATAATCAATTATATGTTTGAAACTTTATCTCATCAGCTGTTTCTGTAACATACTAAACCAAACATGGCAATCATGGACCACCTAAGCAAAGCAAGAGAGAAAACTGAACTCATTCCATTTGAGATGTCTCCATAGGATCTTGAATGTCACATGGAAAGAAAAAGTGTGCAATACAGAGATCCTTGCATGATCAGGCATTCCCAGCATCTTTACATCCCTCAGACAACGCCATTTGTGCTGGCTTGGACATGTTCGCCGGATGGAGGACAAGCGCATCCCGAAAGTCATTCCTCTATGGACAACTCGCGACTGGCACAAGAAAAACTGGTCGCCCCCACCTCTGTTACATAAATGTAATAAAACGTGACCTCAAATCAGTGAACATCAATACTGACAATTGGGAAGACATAGCTCTAGACCGCAACAGATGGAGAGAGACAGTGACCAAGAAAGCTATGGACAGTGAAAGTACATGGGTCTCAGCTCAGGAAGAAAAACGTACAATCCGAAAAACGGCCAGCTCCTCTACCACCGAAGCAAAAGCCACCTTAACCTGCACTATCTGTGGACGGGAGTGTCTCTCCAAAATAGGGCTCCACAGCCACATGAGGAAGTATGCTCTGAGATGAACCATAGTCGTTCGACGACTGAAGGAGGCCAATGATGAATGATGGTGACTTACCAACATACGGAGGCGCGGTGGCTGAGCGGTAAAGCGCTTGGCTTCTGAACCGGGGGTCTCGGGTTCAAATCCTGGTGAAGACTGGGATTTTTCTTTCGGGATCCTTGGGCATCTCTGAGTCTACCCAGCTCTAATGAGTACCTGACATTAGTTGGGAAAAAGTAAAGGCGTTGTGCTGGCCACATGACACCCTCTTTAACCATAGGCCACAGAATCAGATGACCTTTACATCACCTGCCCTATAGACCACAAGGTCTGAAAGGGAAACCTTACTTTTACTTACTTACCAACACACACATCATAAGCTAGACCACAAACATAAACATCTGTGACATGGCGCTCTCCCAACAAAGAGGCTAAGTTGGTTTGTGACAATCTGCAATTATCCCAGAATGC